CTATTCTATTTGCATCTGAACCCCAACTCATCAATACATAAGGGTGTCAAATCTTCCCATTAATAATTTTGTTATTCCTTTAACGTTGCCTGTCTGCTGCATTGCTAATAAAATGCCTTAATGATGAGAAAATAATCATTTCTGTGTGCTAACCAAAATGTGACTTGAAGCTGCAGCATCTGGTAGAGGCCTCAACATCGTTTGGAATGAGCTGAAGACAACCTATACAGCCTCACAATGACTGCTGAGTTTGGCTTTCCATATCTAATCAAAGCAAATTTCTGCTAGATGAGAAGTCTGTTTTCCCCTCTCCCATCTCAAGCAAGTAACATGGTGTCAAATTTAACAGCAAATTTAACTTTCTTAATTTCATTATTGCCATTATATTTACAATGCTGAATTCAATAACTGGAAACAAGTATTTTTCATGACACTCCAATTCTTTACCATTTCATTAACTGTAACTGTCTTTTCAAAATCAACACACTGTGGTAGAGTTAGTGAAATATAAACTGAGCACGAACCTGGATCAAGCTGGTCGAGAGAGACACAAATACTGGATTACGTGAGTATAACACAAATTCAAAGCTACCTTTTCCAGTTAGTCCGTACATTTATGGTAACTGAATCACAGAATCACAGAATGGTTTGGGTTGGAAGGGACCTTAACGACCACTCAGTTCCAACCCCCTGCCCTGGGCATCGACACCTCCCACCAGACCAGGTTGCTCCCAGCCCCATCCAGCCTGGCCTTGAGGCGGGGGGGGGGCCAGCCACAGCTGCTCTGGGCAGCCTGAGCCAGTGTCTCACCACCCTCACAGTGAAGAACTTCTTCCCAAGATCTAATCTAAATTTCCCCTCTTTCAGTTTGAAACCGTTACCCCTTGTCCTATCACTGCACTCCCTGATCAAGAATCCGTCCCCACCTCTCCTGTAGGCTCTGTGGAAGGCCGCTAGAAGGTCTCTCCGGAGACTTCTCTTCTCCAGGCTGAACCACCCCAACTCTCTCAGCCTGTGATCTTTCAGGTCCACAATCCTTGCCCATAATTATCTTTGGTGTCTTTTAAAATGTGGGTTTCTAGGATCAGAGACCACAATCTCTTACTGTGTTTTTCAGCTTTATAGAACCTTACTATAGCAAATAATCAAGATAAAAAATACTAAGTCAATTTTGAATTAGTAGAATATTTGCTAAATTTGTGAGCACATCAAAACCAGTATGTCAAACAAAAAACTACACCGAAGCATTCTTTGCTTGGATTTGCAGCTAGAGTTAGTCTGGATGTTTCCACGTAAATGGTAGTCTATCTTAGGTGTCATCTGAAACGATTAAGGTTGACTTCTACAGTCTATTCCATCAATTAGAAAGGAAACAGCAGATAGATAGTCACATTTTATGGAAATGTGTGTGTCTAGCCTACTGCATAATTTTAAATGTAGAATATATTTTTGGCATAAATTAACAGAATCTAGGCACAGAAAAAACCCATAAGATCATCTAATTCACTTTTTTTTTTGTGAAGAAGCTATTATTCTCAAACATTTGGGGTTTTTTTCCCCACTTTTTCCACTAATTTAGATTTATTACACCAAAATTCTAGCATTATCCTTATGCAACAGTAAGAGACAAATGGCATTCACTCTTAAAGATTTTTTTAACGTCATTACTATCTATCTCATCCCTGTAGCATTTCCACAATTCCACGCAGTGCCAACTTTGTGTTTTTTATGTACTGTGAAAGAATACTACCTTATCATTTGTATTAAGAAAGGAATTTTTCCTTACTTATGTGTCTTAATCGAAATCCCTAGTCCAGCACACCTTCCAGAGCCTGAAAGCAAACTCAGAAAGCTGTATCATGCTTTGCTTACAACCAGAGCATGGCGGACTTCACTTGCAGTTTTACAGCAGCACTGAGGATTTTTCTACCCATTGCACCTGCCTACTCCTTTCAGACATCCCCAGTACTAGTGAGATGTAGTGTGTAATTATAAAAAACCTGCAACTGTGTTATCTTGATAGTGAATTTTGTTTTCATTCAGATAGCAAAATGCAGTAATAAAGTAATTTACATTCCTCTTAAATTGCAGTTTCATTATTTCATAGCAGAACTTAGTCTCTTAGTAAGGAACAAGCAGATCAAATTGAAATATCTGCCTTTTTTTTTTTTTTTCCCTTTCAAATTGGTCTACTTTAAAATGCCTTGCTTTCTGAGTAGGCACAGCTTGTGTTTAAGTGGCCGTTCTCAGTCTAGGGGTTAAAGATTTCTTTGGGAGACCCATGTTTTGAAAAGAATGGCCTCATCCTGAGTTGTGTCAATTATAGAAAGGTCACTCTCCACAGCCAGAGCCTTGAGCCCTGAAATGGTTGTTGTGTTAAAAGCTGTCAGAGGCTTTCCTAAAAACTGCTAGGATGGCAATATTAACCTGGACATAATAACAGGAAAGGTGAGGGAGAAAAACTTTTCACCCTTCCCCGCTATAAGAATTTGTCTTTTAGATATTGCTTCTGTTCATCCAAACCTGTCATTCATATTATTCCACTGTGGAAGACTACTTGCCTAAATATTGTTCTTCCCCCCTTCCCCTAGATTATCAACATTTCAGCAACCTTCTACGAAATGTCAGAAGAACGAGTAAACTTTTCCAACATGCTCTGAGGAAAGCTAACTGCAGCAATTTAAGATATAACTAGCAGTTCTGTCTCCTTGTC